CCTGAGGTATGTTAGTATGCTAGAGGTCTTTGTGATTCTTGCATGTGTCGGTAGTATGTTTCCGGACTAGGGTCCGATGTCGGGGTTAGCCCGAGGAATGTTATATGTTGCATAGTAGATTATACTTGTTGTCCTTGTGATACATGTATGTGTCTGGTAGGGAGGTGAGTGTGGGCAAGGTCCCGTATCTCATCACTAGCCGAGTGTGGACGGGGTTCCATATCTCATCATTTAGTAGAGTATGTGCGAGGTCCGTAATAGGAGGGAAGTGAGTGTAGGCGGGGGCCTGTATCTCACTATCAGCATGAGTGTGGACGGGGTTCCACGACTCATCAGTAGCAGAACAGGGGCGATGCCCAAGTTAGGCGAGGCCTTAGAACAGGAATACAGTAGAGTATGTTTGCTTATTGTGCTAGTATGTTTATGTGATTGTATATGTATAGCGGGCGGGGCCCGGAGACATGCGAGGCCTAAGAGAAACAGATCGGTATACCGAACGGGGCTCGATGCCGGGCGGGGCCTGATGTCGGGCGGGGCCCCGATGCCGGGAAAGTCCCGATGCAGCAGGTGGGGGCCCAGTATGTGGTTATGTGTATGGTATGTGGTAGGTTGGAGAACTCACTAAGCTTCGTGCTTACGATTTTCAGTTTTGGTTTCAGGTACTTCCGGTAGCAGAGGGAAGAGCTCGTGATGACTGCATCGCACACATCATGATGTTTAGCCTGGGATGTTTTACTCTAATTTTTTGATATGGAACTCTGATGACAATGTTTTGATAACTTATGGTTTTACTAATGAATTAAAATGAAAATTTTGGTCTTGATTTTTGGGACGTTACAATTCACTCTCAAGGGCTAGGGTTTCGATATTAGGGATAAAAGGAATGGAGGCTGGTCATAAGAAGGTCCAAGGGGGAATAAGATGCTTAAATAAGGGATACAACCCTAAAAATTTAGGGTTTGGGAACAGCACGAGTACGCCTGGCGTACTCACGTGTACGCCCAACGTACTCGACCTCGGTCACGACTATTTTGCTAATTGACGTCCGACATATAATCCATGTACGCCCAACGTATGGGCTTAATTTGCAAAATTTTTGAATATTAAGGGTTGAAAATGGAAATACCTGGCAACGGGTGTTACACCTTATGTATTCTTAGGCTACAACACCTCTCACAAAGGTTATATATGCCTTCATCGCCCCACATCTTGACTCTACATCTCTCGCCATGTAATATTCAATGAAGAAGTTTTCCCGTTTGCTACTAACCCATCACAGACACACTCATCTCCCTCCACTGTATCTTACAACTCGCCTACCTCACCTAATCTTTTAGAGTAAATTACACGAATGGTCCCTATGGTTTAAGTTAATCTGCGTGTTTGGTCCCTAACTTATTTTTTTAACTCGGAAGGTCCTACTGTTTGTTTTTGTTACATACTTGGTCCCTGTCTTACCTAAAAAAACTATTTGCCCTTGATTTTTTAAAATATTTTAATAAACACACCCCAACCCCCCTCATCTTACCTTACCTATATTATCATTTTTTCCTATTTAAATAATAGTTTTTTAGGTAAGACAAGGACCAATCGCGTAACAAAAACAAACAGTAGGGACCAAGCGCGTAACAAAAACAAACAATAGGGACTTTCTGAGTTTAAAAAATAAGTTAGGGACCAAACACGCAAATTACTCCAAACCATAGGGACCATTCGTGTAATTTACTCAATCTTTTACAAGTAATCTTCTCTATACCTCCACTTTCTCCTCCATCCCCTCCTCCTATATCTCAACCCACACCATCATTAAATGTTACACCATGTGACTCAACTCCTACAATCTCATCTCCCTCTACTTCGTCTCCTCCATCATGTCCATCTCATCGTCGCCCTATACACAACTCTCAAGCCAAACAACAACCCTCACACATCTTTAGACCTACTGCAAATAACAAACACAATATGATCACTCGTGCTCGCATAAACTCTCTCAAACCTAAAACATTTCTCGCAATCACAGTCTCCCCTCCCACCTCAGAACCAAGAAACATCCCTCAAGGCCTCAATGACCCTTTTTGGTTAAATGCAATGAAAAATGAATTTTGACGCCTTAGTGCGTAATAACATATGGACACTTGTGTCCCATCCACCTAATGCCAACATTGTGGGTTGTAAGATTTTCAGGGTCAAAAGGCATTTGGATGGCACTATTGAACGTTACAAGGATCGACTCGTGGCTAAAAGATTCAGTCAAGAAGAATGCATTGATTTCTTTGAAACCTTTAGTCTCGTAATCAAACCAACCACCATCCGCTTGGTTATTTCAATTACTCTATCTCATGGTTGGACGATTAGACAATTAGATATCAACAATGCATTTCTCAATGGTGTATTAACAAAAAAAGTCTACATGGAACAACCATGGGGTTTTACCAATCCGTCTCACCCTCATGTAGTTTGTAAACTTCATAAAGCTATATACGGACTCAAACAAGCCCCGAGAGCTTGGTTCAACCAACTCAAACATCACCTACTTCAACATGGTTTTCGAGCTTGCCACTCCGACACTTCCTTATTTGTGCACTTGTCCCTTGTTGCTGCCATCTATGTGTTGGTTTACATTGGTGATCTAATCATCATAGGAACCAATCCTCAAATCATTCAAAAACTCATACAAGATCTTAATCACACGTTTGCATTAAAAGATCTTGGCAATCTCACATATTTTCTAGGTGTTTAGATTTCCAAATCAACACAGGGACTTCAACTATAACAACAACAATACATTCGTGATATTCTTCTTCGCACCAAGATGATAGATGCCAAACCAGTCACAACCCCAACAGATTCATCCGTACCTCTCACACAAATTGGTGAACCCCTTCTCCGACCCCTGGTTATACAAACAAACAGTTGGTTCTTTACAATATGCCACTATCACTCGCCCATACATAACATTCACTGTCAATCGTGTATGTCAATTCATGCATGCTCCTACCACTCTTCATTGGCAAGAAGTTAAGTGCATCTTACGCTACCTTAATGGCACAATACAACACTGCCTTCACTTTCAATCGCTCATACATAACATTCACTGTCAATCGTGTATGTCAATTCATGCATGCTCCTACCACTCTTCATTGGCAAGAAGTTAAGCGCATCTTACGCTACCTTAATGGCACAATACAACACTGCCTTCACTGTCAACCACACAAGGCATTCTCTCTCATGGCCTATTTCTGACTCCAGATGGATCTTGACAAAGGCGACAACCGTTCTCAATATGGCTTTGCAGTTTTTCATGGCCTCAACTTAATTAGTTGGACATCTCGCAAGCAAAGGGTTGTTGCTCGCTCCAGTACAGAGGTGGAATATTGCGCTCTAGCCTATACCACATCAGAAATACTATGGATACAACACTTACTATGAGACCTTCATGTCCAACTTCCACAGTCTCCAATTATTTTTGTGACAAAGTAGGTGCCACATTCATGTGTAAAAACCCGATCATCAGCTCCAGATCCAAGCACATTGCCCTTGATTACCACTTTGTTAGAGAACAAGTCGACTGTTGAGCTCTTCGTATTAGTCACATTTCATGATCAACTTGCCGATATATTCACCAAACCACTTAGCAAGGATCGCATTGCCACACTTCGCACCAAGCTCCAAGTTCGATACCCACTTGAGCTTGCAGGGGGTAATAACAGTTACAAAGTGACTATGTCAAAGCTTTACCTAGTCCTTAAGATACTTACTCGCGTGTATCACTCTTCCTGACGATTGTGAGGAGTTAAGTTAGGTTTCAGTTCATGTCTCCTATGTATAAATTCGTTTATATGTTCAATTTATAATACATAATTACAATTCAATTCATATACTCTATTATAATCCAACACAATTGAATATATATGAACATAAAAAGAATTTAAATGAACAAAAACAAATAAACAATATAAACAAATGTTCATGAGCATAATTAAATTGACAATGTCATTGTTCATGTTTATTCATTTAACTAAACGAATAAAAATTTATATTCATATTCCCAATTGATGGTCTTGGTCAGCATATGTCTCCTGTGGAGTACCGAACTATCCTTCGTTACCGCCTCATATTCTCATATTCCCAATTGACGAGATATGCTCAGTTTGTCGCAAGGCATGTTTGGATACCTTTGGGGAACACGCGGTTCATTGTAGAGAGCTCCCTGGTTTCAAGTATAGACATGATGTGGTTCGGGATGTTCTCTTTGATGTTTGTCGGCGTGCTGGTATTTCTGTGAAGAAAGAAGCGTCAGTGAACTTTTTGACGGACCCGCATGATGGAAGGTCCACACTTAGACCGACTGACATTTTGGTCTTTAGATGGATAAGAGGGAAGCATGCGTGCGTGGATCTTACTGGGGTCTCTCCTCTTGTTGGTTTGGGGAGCGGGGGTTTCACAGCTGGGCATGCCGCTGCGTGCAAAGTGGTAAAGCACGAGAATGCATGTATAGAAAATCAACATGTGTTTATACCTTTTGCATTCGATACATTTGGTTTTCTCGCACCAGAGGCGGTGGAGCTCCCAAGGACGGTTCTAAGGGATTCCCGGTGTGGCACCGACAACCCCTAACTTTTCTTGCCGCAGTGAAATTTTTTTCGATTTTTCAGTTTTTTCTACCTATTTTTCATGTATCGGCAACACCTATTCATTCCGGCAACACCTACCATGTATTCCTGCGTCCGTCCCTGGGAGCTCCTCAATAGAGTCCAACGGGTCATGCATTCTAATGTCATATCTCCTAGATCTACAAATGTTGTTTTCAAAAGAATTGGTTTTGCCACCCAGAAAAGGCTAGCGGCGCAGCTTGTTGCCCGTTTGCCTTCAATCGATATGTATTGAACTATATAACTATTTATAACATTTCGAAAAGTTTAAATGAACCTAAACCAACTTCTCAGGTTCCAAAATGTTGGCTGAATATTGGCTTCGTTTATGGCGCTAGGTATTGAGGCATGAGCGCTTGGTTCGCGTATTTTTGTCTCTGAATCGCTCAGTCAACATGACCACACAATCGCTTAACAAAAACTTTGACTCTCCCTTTCCCCTCGTTCCAGCGACGTCAACAACAGCCTCCATCGCCACCCTCTTCTTTCCTTCCCCGCCACCGGCGCCACGCTCCTCCTTCCAGTAGCCACCGACGCCGCCGTCTTCTTTTCCCACAGCAGCGATCAGAAATATAATCAGGGGAAACCTAAGTTATCAATTATCTCAGGCACGTCTTGCAGTCTTGTTGAAGATCTCCACGGCTTTAACTTATAATAATCTGCATTTTCAGGGTTCCAACTTCCAAAACCCTGACACCTTCAAAGACCAGAATTATCTCCACGTTTCTTTTACTCTTTTCATAAAGTAACTACGTCTACATAGCTCAAATCTTTCAGTTCGGTTTACCAAACATAAGGCCTTCTGTTTTTTCATGCAAATTTTCATGCTTGTTTGTGTACTATATATAAGTTTTTGATGTCAAACACTGTTACAGTCATAGTGTTGTGATTTCTATATAATGCTCTGTTTTCTTTTTCGTATTGACACATGTCTGCTGGAGCTCTAAAAAAACATGCACACAATCTGTTTGTGTAAATGCCCAAGTGAACATGCGGGTTGCTTTTCAACTCTTACCTTTTAACTTTATAATGCTATGAAAAACACACCAAATGTATTAGTAAGATTCTTTCACACACATTTGATACTGGAATTGAATTGTATTGATTTACATCAACACTCGATAGTTGTTGATTCAATAACTCAGAGGCCTAAAGGCTTCCATTTCATTACATTTGAAATCTGGTTTGAATTGAAATAACTCAAAAGGCTAAAACCATCTTCTTGTTTTCTTGTATCACATTTCGAGAATCTCTCATTTAACTGTTTGAGTTTGTTTCTTTCAGAATGGACATTGCCAGTGTACTCATTCAAGTTCAATCAAATCAATTGCACAGAAACCTCTTTGTTGCATAAGGTTGATTCAGTCAGGCATTTCTACAAACACTTGATCAACACTCCAATTCTCACAAACTCAATGGCAAATCAACTCATCAAACCTCCAAACAACTTCACCAAATCATTGAAAAATCTTTACTTCATAGCCTCAAATCTACAATCGATGACAACAAGCAAACGAGTTCAAGATCGAAGCCAAAAGAAACGAGTCCACGCCCTTGAAGTTGCAGTTGAAAAGCACAAAATCGCATCCAAAATCTTGTTTTTATTGGAACTACTAAAACATGAACCCGAACAAATCATACCCATAAGATCTCTTGATCAACACAGACGCCCTCTAAACTTGCCAAAACCCCACAAAATATCAGACTTCATTCGAAAATCCCCAAAGTTATTTGAGTTGTATAAGGATCAAAAGGGTATAACATGGGTTGGATTAACAAAAAAAGGTGAAGAATTAATCGAAGAAGAAGAGAGATTAATAGCAGAAAATGAAGAGAAAGCTGTTGAACATGTAACAAGGCTGCTGATGATGTCAGTGGAAAAGACTCTTCCTTTAGATAAAATCGCACATTTTAGGAGGGATTTAGGTTTGCCTTATGATTTTAGGAAACATTGGGTGCATAAATATCCTGAAATTTTTAGGGTTTTTAAAAATGAAGATGAAATCGAGTTCTTGAAGCTTGTTTCTTGGAACCCAAACTGGTGCGTTACTGAAGTAGAGAAAAAAGTTTTAGGTATCACAAAAGCGGACGATTATACCCCTGGTGTACTTTCATTACCATTTCCAATGAAATTCCCTCCTGATTACAAGAAAGTGTATAGATATAAAGGGCAGATTGAGAATTTTCAAAAAAGGGAATATCTTTCTCCTTATGCAGATGCTAAAGAGCTTAAAGCTGGATCTGTAGAGTTTGATAAACGAGCAATTGCAGTAATGCATGAAGTGTTGAGTTTTATGAATGAGAAACGATTAGTTACTGATCATTTGACTCATTTTAGAAGAGAATTTGTGATGCCACAGAAGCTTATGAGAATCTTGTTGAAGCATTTTGGGATTTTTTATGTTTCTGAAAGAGGGAAGAGATTTAGTGTGTTCTTGACAGAAGCTTATGAAGGTTCTGAATTGATTGAGAAATGTCCACTGGTTGTTTGGAAGGAGAAAGTTGTGAGTCTTACTGGTTATAGAGGAAGGAAGAAAAAGATTGAAACTTTTGATGATTTTGATGATTTGGAGGATGATGATTTGTTTGAGAGTGATTCTGATGATGAGAAGACTATTCGGATTGATCAAGAAGATGATATGATGAGTAGTGATGTTGAAGATGGATTGATTTCAGAATGTTCTGAGATGGATATTTCAGAAGTTCAGAAAGCTTATACAGAGAAGTAAACATTTGAAGGTCTAGAAATCTTGTGGGTGTATTTTATTTTATTTATTTTTAAGTAATCTAATTTTTAAAATAGTTTTAGCGTTCTTCTTGTTACATTAGTTTAAGCCCATTCACTTTAAAATTATTAAAGATGACCTGAAATAGAATATGATTGTTTTTTGTGAGAATGGACAATTATGAAGAGAATATGTGAGAGGTCTAATGTTTTTTCCTTTTGGTGAATAAATGTTTACCTTGCTTTATATTTGAATAATGGTCACACAAGTTCCTTGAACTAAGTATATGCCATGTCGGATATTATAATTTTTAGGGATTAAAAAAGAGTATACCATTCTTGGATGAAGGTTGATGACTATGATACCATGAAAAAACTTTGAAAGAAAATGTAATTTCAAGAATTGATGGGTATATGTTTCAGAACAAATCAAAGCAAAACTAAGCGATAAATAAGATCAAGATCAATTCTAACCCTAATCCTATATGAATGCCACGTCTAAATATAAGGAAATATTAGTACATCCTAAAAATAGAATAAGCAATAATATTATAATAACTCCATGATTTAAGATTATTCATAGAGTGCATCAACTTGGGAACTTATTGTTACTAGTGTCATCATGGCCGGTCCATAGATTTTCGATGCCCCGGCCGAAAAGATTTAAATTTGGAAAAATACCGCAAATAGACAAAAAATGGGGGTCAATTTCGAAATTTAGTCATAAAAATAGATTTTTCCGGCTATAGACATACATTCCGCGGAGGACCCTCCGCAGAACCATGAGATCTCCGCGTAGAGGGGGTAATTTCGTAATTTCAACCCTTTTTTTTAGAAAAACGAAGGGGTCCTCTTTTGGTCCCCACTAGTCCCCGTTTGTGTTCGTCACTCCGCATCGCCTCGCATAGTCGTTCATCGAAGACTTCAAATCCGGCGACGACTTCAACTCCGGCGGAATACGCTGTCAAACGACTTCAAATCCGGCGAAATCGAGTATATAGCACTTGAAATCCGTTACCGATGGACCGCGAATTCCCCGATGTTATGGCCGATGGATACGGTTCCCGGGTATTTCTCACATTCCCATCTAATTATTAATGTCGAAAATGTCGAATATGATTCAAATTAGAGGAAAACCCATTTTATTACATTGAATATGTATACAGTTTTAAAAGTTTTAGGTTTACAAATCACAGGAACGATTTTTGGGATGATCCATTCCGTGGAGGGGGACGTCAGTCCGCAGAGGGTGCTCCGCGGAGTGATAAGTTACCTCCGCGGAATGTTATAATCGAAGAAATGCAGGTCTCCGCGGAGGCTAGAGGTCACTCCGCAGAGAGGCCTCCGCGGAATGACATTAAAAATAGTTTTTGCACAATTTTTTTTTCTGCTTTTGCTGCCCTTTTCTTTTGTGTATTTACTATTTAGTTATATATAAAAACTATGTTGCTATTTATTTCATAAACAGAATTAGAAAATTAATTTTGGAACCTTGTTTTTTATTTTCAATTAGTAATGTTTTAAATGAAATAAGATTTTTTTTTGTTGTGTAGCACGAAGATCTCAATCAAAAAGCGGATTTAACTTTGAAAGGCGTGGTGGGGACTATCATTAAAGACTATTTTCCGCGCCTAACACAATCACAACGAGTATTATTCGAAGCTTCCCCCTTTGGAATATTCTTAGGAATGCATATCCCACATGGTGATCCCTTACTTGTGCATATGATGATGTTGCACGAAGTAAGGTGTCAACAAATATTTGAAATAGGGAGGTTTCTGTTTGATATAGAGGGGATCCAGTTGGATTTTGGTGAAACTGAATATATTCTCATTTGTGGTTTAAAAGTTGGTCCTTATGTGGATTTACTCCATAACGAAAAGAGCCAGTCAAATTCAAATCTCCGTGCTCGGTTGTTCCCAGATATTTCTAATGCACGTTTGCGGCTGAAAGATTTAGAAGACTTGATTATGTCCCCGAATTATTTGGCACTACAAGATGAAGATGTTGTGATGCTTATCCAGCTTGTTTTTATGTTGAAGGGTCTACACGGACGGGACGTTAAAACGGGCATTCCTGCAGCAGTATACAAGCTTGCTGATAATATAGATGATTGGAACAAGTATTACATTTAAAACAGGCATTCCCGCAGTAGTATGCAATGCACTAATTATAATAAATAAATTGAAAATTGCAGGTTTGCATGGGGTACGTATTTCTGGAAATATACTTCGCGTTTGATGCGTGGAATGTTTAAGAAAATAGAAGAGTTTAGAGTATTGAAGCAGGCCAATCCCGAATCGAAGAAAGTACACAAGTATACTGTTCCCGGTTTTATGCTTCCGTTTAAGGTTACTTTTAATGCATTTAAATAGTTATCATTGTTTTGTTTTTTATACTATAAAAATTTGAACTTCGTTTTGTATTATATAATAAGTTTGTATCATGACTTTTATAGTATAATAGAACGATACTTACATTTTTTTTTCATAGATATGGATTTTGGAGACGTTCCCAGAGGCAACCAAGTTTTATATACGCACGCCGACAGAATTGCCACGGATGAGGGCGTGGAGAAGTAAAACACCGTTATCGTGGGTTCAATGTTGTCGAATAATGAACGTGTCTGTGGTATGCTTTTTATATTAACAATCATCTATATTTACAAATTCCAATGTATTTTCATGTTAAACTAACAATCTGATTTTTGCAGCCTAACAACCAACCTATTAATGTCGTGGCAAAACCGGAGGAGCTGATGTTTCCGTTTTATGTTCGTTATGTCAATTAGACTCTTAACCCTGTAGAGTCTCCCCCACGGCAACATAGTCTTGTCCAAAATAGTCCACCTCATGTTGCATCGCCTGCTCGAAGAAGGATGTACAAGTCCGAAATAGAAACATCTTCGACTGAATCTGCCACAAATGCTTCTTCCTCGCAACATCTTGAAATAGAAACAAATTATATGTCAAACGACACATCAAGATTGGTAAAGAAGAAGAAGACGAGCACAAAGGCATTAGTGAAGCGTCTACTAGGCGTTGTGGCTGACTTAAGTTCTAAAGTAGACCGTGTATTACATAAAAAAGATGAACCGGACACAAATGTTGAACCAGACAGAGGGTTTCGAGAGGAGGAAGAGGTGGAGGAGGAGGAAGAGATGATAAATGAAGAGGATGAAGAAAAATATGACCATGATATATATTTTGACTATGATGATATAGGTACTCATGGTTTGGAGGGAGAATTTGGGCCTACACCTACGCATGTTGAGCCGTCATCGGACGTGGGTGAACATCACACAAAAGAAATGACTCCTATTGTTAGGCCGCAACGAAAGAGGGGTGTTCCATGGTATCAACGGACTCCGTTCACAGTGGTACAAAACTCATATTTTAAATTTGGTATATTTTTAAAATATTAATGTATTGATAATTATTTAACATGTTAATTTTTTAGTTGCAATCCACACCAAAATTGAAGAAAATCACCAAAGCAAAGAAAAAAAAAAGTGGTGAAGAGTCCTGAAAAAGCAAATGAAGACATTGTGAATGAAGAGAGTAATGATGTTTCAAATCATCTCCTGCTGGACAGTGTTGAAGGTGCCAGTACGTTGAGTTTTTGGAGAGAATAGAATACGATCTCTTCCAACCTAAACACTAAACATAGGCTGCATATGCTCACACTGGATGTGGAGTTTTGGTCAAGGTTACTTGCAGTTACTGACGCTGGGTGGTTAATTTCTTCGGTAACATTCGTTAAATATAATTTTTAACTACATTTTTAGACGATAATTTATATAAAAAACTGTAACATTTTTATCTTAAAATGTACAACATATTGCGATATGGAGTGCCTTGCTCATGGAAAGACGGCTGGCGAACGCAAGGTGGACGATATTCCCTCAAGAACTTAATTTGCAAAACGGAAAAACATTTTTTCTTAGGAATATAGCAAATGGTGTCGGAGGCCATCCTAAATGGAAGGATGTGGATATGGTTAGTTAAGTTTATTAATTATTTATTTTATATAGGAACTGAATTAATGACTATTAAATTTGTTTTTGTTTGCAGGTTCTATTCCCCATAAACGTTCCTCATGCCCATTGGTTTTTGGCAGTGCTACATTTAGATATTTGGAAAGTACACATTTATGATTCAGCACGATGTATGAATTACTTCACAACGTACTTGACTGGTGGAGAATTCAAAAGTTTTGGGGATAGTATAATCGAAGAGCTAGATGTCATTGACTACCGGAAGGATTTCCCCGATGGACACAAAGACAACGCAGTTATGGAGTTTATTGATATTGTAGACGCGCCACAACAAGAATATATTACTAATAGAGGGAATTGTGGAGTACTCGTAAGCATGTATATGAAAATGATTGCTTCGGGGGTACCGGTGAAGAGTGATAAGCCATGTAGAGATGCAGGATTTCTCTACAGAAATAGGATGACAAATATTATTTGGGATACTAAATAACTTGATGTTTGGAAGTTTGTATACATTATTATGAGATACTTGTTTTTAGTAGTTTTGTTTAATATAAACAACTTTTGTATCATATATTTTTTGAAACATAATTCACCAACATATATTACGATCATGATTGTAGAAATCGGGATTAATCGGCGATTAATCGTGGATTAATCGTCTGGCGTTCTCCAACCGTCGAGGATTAGGGCATTAATCGGAAATTTAGGATTAATCGGGTTTGGCAGGATTAATCGGCCTTGGCGGGATTAATCGGTCAACAAAAGTCGAAAAAAGTCAAAAAAAAGTCAAAAAAAAAGTCAAAAAAATTCAAAAAACCAACTTTTTTTTTACTCCAAAATTTTTAAATTTTCAAAATTTCAAATATTATACCAAAATGTTCAAATTTTCGTATTTCCAAATTACAGTTTTTCTTATTTTCTAATTTTGAAGTACTTGTTTTTCTTAACATATATTAATATTTAATTAATTTTAATATTTTATTAATAATCTATGGTCCCCGATTAATCCTCGATTAATCCCCGCCAAGACCGATTAATCCCTTAACACCAGTCGACCGTCGAGCTACCGTTAAGCGATTTTTACAACCTTGATTACGATACATTAAAAACAAAACAAGCATTTGAAATAACATAATAACATTACAGAAAACATTACAAATAAAAGATGAACGACTAACAAACATTACATAGAACATTACGAATAAAAGAGTCGTCTACATGAAAAAGAGTTTATTTCTAACCAGATTCCAAACGTCCGTATACTCGAACTCAGTTTCATCAAACTGGCACAGGTAATATCCGTTCACGTATTCAAGAAGTTCTTCATCATCAGCATCAGAGCATCGCATTTTCTCATAATTGTAGCATCGATTGTACCATGTTACTTTAGTCTTTAAATCCATCCATTTACTAACAATATCGGGTTTTAGTCGTTCTTGTCCTTGTCCCGCCTTATAGTTGAACAAAGCTACTAAGCGGGGACCATTTATCACCAACAAGGCAATTAAGGGGAGCCATTACCAGCAGACCCTCGTAAACGGTAATCCAACATCATGTTAGGACCAACACCTCTGTTGTCGTCCATGAAGATGTACCATTTGTTGGAGCAGACGCATTAGACAGATTAGCTGCATTTGAAGACGTTGGTACATTGGATGCCATTTTGTGAAATGATCCATTACCTCTAATTCGGACGTATAGATACGTGCTTTACTATATATAAAAAGATAGGTAACGCGGACTGACAAGTCAGTAACGCGGACTGACAAGTCAGTAACGCGTCTCTTGTGTCCCGTGCGTCTCTAGCGTCTCCTGAGTCCCTTCTGTCCCTTTCCCTTTCCCTTTTGTGTTACTACCTGATGTCGCACTACTTTTTGTAGCCTTTTTTTGTTTCTTTGGGACCAATGCCGGACAAGTCGCTGCATTATGTGTTGTACTATCACATCTACTACACCTTCTTACTATAGGTTCCTCACCTTGTGACGGGATACGATTTCTGTTTCTCGGTCTACCAGCTTGACGTGTATCCATTATCGGGGGTTTAACAACCATCATCTCAACAGGAATCTCCCAAATCATACGGTTCTGGAAGGGGGTAAACCGGCTCCTCATACGTACTTCGGTACGTTTCCATTTTGTAAGCATCTATAGCCAGATGTCCGAAGTTAGTTTTTTTCAAGTGCTTCAAGACCATTATGACATGACCACAAGGCAACCCAGTTCCTTCCCAATATTTGCATGTACAAGTCTCTTGCCTCAGATCAACTATGCCACCATGTTTGAAATCATGCACTTGATATATTGCATCTGAAACACCAGAAACGGACCATCCTGTCGTACACTCTTCAATTTTACTAACTACTTTTTCAGCCCACTCGGTTAGCACTGTTGAACGTTTCCCTGTAAAGAAGATATATATAATTAACTTATTATTCGACCTAATTAAAGTCCAAATTAAATTCATACCTCCTTCGATGCGACGCTTGTTACACCATTCCTATGAAAGACGATGGAAGAACTCAAGAAGGGGTATTATAGGCATCTTCCTTGCATCTACAGATAAAGCATTCATGGACTCTGCACTGTTCGAGGTCATGTAATCGTACCGTTTCGACAACGAATATGCTCTAGTCCATTTAGCACGGGGAATTTCACTTAGATACGCTGCTACTTGCGGCCTAGTAGAACTAAATTTATACCACAATTCTTCAAAAACATTTCTTTTGTAAGCTTTCACAAGCCTCCAAAACAACACTTTTGTTTTATCATTTTTCCCAAACCTGTGTATTATGTTTCCTAGTAGATGAAAAGCACACAAGCCATGATGAGCATGTGAGAAAACATTTTTAATACTAACCCGAATTGCATCGGCCCTATCAGTTACAAAAGTCAATTCTTGACAATCACCAACACATTCATACAACTTTTCAAGAAACCATGTCCAAGTAAGACCACTCTTTTTTTTGCATATTCTGTGCGCAAGGGGCAGTATCTGGTTGTTCCCATCCATAGTTACTGCATGCAATATGGTTCCCTTAAAATCACCCTTCAAATGGGCACCATCCATAATTATAACTTTACGACAAAAACGTTTGAACGCTCGTATCTGCAATATATTAAAATGGAACACATAAACACTCTATAATTTTTTTTAAAAAATTATATATTAAATAACAACAAGTTTTTTGTATTTACCGTGCTCCCAATGGCATAAAAACAACACTCGAAACAATCTTCAGAATCTGTTTGAATATAGGCCACTGTACCGGGATTATGCCTCTTCAAATTGTGAAAATAAATAGGAAGTTTGGAAAAACATTCTTCAGAGGATCCCAACAACAGTTCCATAGCATATTGTTTTGCACGCCAAGCTTGTTTGTAATCTACATTGATTTCCAGCAAAGCATTCAAATCCCTTGATATTTCATTAGGTCTCCAAACATTGGAACGAGTTTTTCCCATAATCTCATGCAATATAGTACCCATCACTTTTTTATTAGCATGCTTATGATTAGGGTGTATCTGTAATGACGAACATATGTGCACGTTGTTGAAAGTCCTGATTTCAAATTCATTAGTGGGATCAATGCGTTTTGCATATAAACGCCAACTACAGTTCTCAATTAACACTTTGTATCAAAAAAACCGTCTAAAATGCGTTGCAACCACCCATTCCGCGGAGACATTAATCTCTCCGCGGAGCTCCTCGTCACCTTCTCCGCGGAGGAATTTATGAACGCCAAACAACTCACTCCGCGGAGGTGTTAATGTATCCGCAGAGGGCCTACGCGGAACAATCTTTTAAACATTAAAAAATCAGACTTTTGGGTGGTCTGCGGAGATGACGTCATTTCGCAGAGATCTGCGGAGGGTCCTCCGCGGAATGTATGTCTATAGCCGGAAAAACCTATTTTTATGACTAAATTTCGAAATTGACCCCCATTTTTTTGTCTATTTGCGGTATTTTCCCTTTAAATTTGCCCCATGGAATAGAATTTCTTAAAAAACAATTCAACAAACATTTCTATATAGAAAACTACTTATAAGTAATGCTTTTTACTTAAGCCAAAAGTACTTTTAAATTTTTTTAGAACCACAGAAATAAAACTAATGACAAAAAAGACCGAAAACTAGCTGAAGTGCAAATATTATAAGAAACAAAAATTACACCAACACTAGACAAACACTTGAAAGCTAGAAATCAAAACCACACCCAAAATGCAACGGGTGGAATGATGTCAATTGTAGAAGATCTTGACAATTTAGAGCAACTTCTGATCACTAAAATTGGAACCAACAACAACATCAAAAATATCAACATATATCAAGAATCTCAATGAAAAATTGAAACTTTGTGGGATAAGATACACTAGAAATAACAATGATCTTGGTAGAGCCACCTCAAAATAACAACGAACTTTAAAGACTTTTCCAGAAACATCAAAACATATCAGTCTTATCATCCCATGATATAGCCCCAATTTTCAAATTAAAAATGATAAGGTCAGCAACAATCAAGTTTCATCGGCAACCCCCAAAAGTGCAATGAACTACTGATAATCCATCCAATTAGCAACCCAAACAATTGCCCCTGTTTTCAAAAGTACTTTTACATTGGGGCTAACTTTAACATGAATGTAAAGAACATGATCCTAGCATAAGTAGTTGAGCTCCGTTTTATACACAATAGTTTGTCATGTAAAACAAAAAACCAAAATAATAACACTTGTAGTCTACCAAAAAAAGTTATAAGAACAAAATACTAAGGCAATCATGTCAAAGAAATGTAAAACAAACAAATTAAAGAAGTCATAAACTACTAAAACATCAGAGTGCTCGAATGTTTGAAATATTTACTAACGAATTATGAAAAACAAAAACATAAATCCTACAAACAATACGCCAAAGAGAGGAACTGTCAAAAACGTTTGAGGAAGAAAATCAAGCAATCTATCAACTGGAAAATCACAATAAAAACATCAAAACCCGAGAAGGAGAACTCAGAACTCAAAAATCGGAAATCCTAAAGCTTCATTGATATCATATTCAATTGAATTAAAAATCAGAACGAGAACTCATAACTATATCAGAAATATGAAATCAATAAGCTTATAGCCGGTTGAAATAGAAAATCAGATGTCTGATTTAGGGATCAAGGGATAAGCCGAGATGGATACCAGCAATATCATTAAATCAAAATTAGATGCATTTATATTCTAATTTCCTCGTCTTATGTCCAACTCCTCGATTTCAATTTAGAGGGGTGCGATGGTTAGATTACCAACATGACGCATATCCTTTTTTTAGCCGCTCAATTCTCATTCTCGTGAATGTACGTACCCATAACAACAATTGAAAATTTGATGCCCCAAACTCGTTGATGCCCTGGGCTATGGCCCTGAGTGTCATCTTGTTCAGTACTCATAGCTTCATGACTTTGGCTAAAACCTTAGACTTGTTTCTAATTCATTTTCCTGAATAGTTAAACAATCAAAATTAATTAATGAAGTGATAGAAACCCATAAAGCACTTAGAAATAACATGGTCCCATATGTGTAAGACGAACGGAGGATGTTTTTAAGTCTTATGATTTTTTTCCAAGGGCCCTCAACCAAATATATGTGTTTTACTGCTTCTTGTTATTATAATATTTGATATAGGTGGTATTTTTTTCCCAAGGGCTTCCACCCAAATATCAGTGTTTTATTGCTTCTTGTTGTTGGAATCCTAAGTCGAGTAGGACTTGGAGACCAAGCAATAGCAACCTAGTTTTTAGGAAATCATAAACAAGTCGGTTTCTAGTTTCCTAATTGTAATCTAATTACAAGCCGGTAGTTAGGATTATATATACATTGTTTTAGGTCGAGCTATGATCATTGGAAAACAATGTAAACACCGTGAGTTTTGAGTGATTTTCTCACAATAATCAAAGAGCTATTTTGATTAATATAACTGTGTTTACATATTCTGATCTTTAATTGGTATCAGAGCTTGAGTCAAGAAGCTGTGAGACCAAAATTTCTAACCTGTTGACAAGCTAGGTCAACATGGCTGATGTAGGGGGCGACGGAGGACCTGCTCCGGTGACTGTGAAAGAAACCGGATCGACTTCTATTCAATGTCCCATGCTCACTTCTACTAATTACACCGTCTGGGCACTGAGGATGAAAGTAGTGCTCAGAATTCACAAAGCTTGGACATCGATTGACCCAGGAACAGACGGTAATGATGAAAAAAATTACCTGGCAATCGGATTGTTGTACCAAGCAATACCAGAATCGTTGATTATGCAACTGGGTGATGTCGAATCAGCTAAAGTCCTCTGGGATGCGATCAAAGCTCGTCATGTTGGGGTTGATCGAGTGAAGGAGGCTCGCCTTCAAACCCTAAGCTCTGACTTCGACAGAATGAAGATGATGGAATCAGAATCGATCGATACTTTTGCTAGAAAGTTGTCCGGAATTGCGTCTCAATCAGCAGCACTTGGCGAAACAATTGAAGAATCGAAGATGGTTAAGAAATTTCTTAAATCCTTACCGAAGAAGTTCATCCATATTGTAGCCTCCCTCGAACAAGTTCTTGACCTGAAAACTGTTGGATACGAGGATGTTGTTGGTCGCCTGAAAGCTTATGAGGAAAGGGTAAAGGAAGCGGATGACGGTGGAGAAGGATCGGAAGTCCTGTTCGCCGATGGTGGAGGTATCTCGTCGGGGAACGAAGGGAAAGGGAAAGTGGAAAGGAACGAGTGAATCGAATGGGTTTAATGAGACTGGCGGGTCAAGTGGATCCGGATCTAGTGGGTTATCTGGGTCAGGTGGATCAGGCGGGCCCAAAGGGAATAATAGGGTTTCTCAAAATAATCGGCCCAATAAACAGTCAAATTCTGATTTATCTCAACCCAATTCCAACAATTGCAAAAATTGTAATTGTTGTTGTGACAAGAATCGGAAAAATAGGGAAAAAGACCGATCTAAGGTGATTTGTTTTCGATATGACAAAGCGGGTCACTTTGCTTCTGAATGTCCGGAACGACTCCAAAAAAATTACAAGAAGGTGATTTTTCAGAACGTGACGACAACGACGAGTCCGTGTTCTAAAACCGGATCGGGGTTGAAGAATTCTCTAGAAGGACTTAGAGATTCGGGGGTGATTGTTGGAATCCTAAGTCGAGTAGGACTTGGAGACCAAGCAATAGCAACCTAGTTTTTAGGAAATCATAAACAAGTCGGTTTCTAGTTTCCTAATTGTAATCTAATTACAAGCCGGTAGTTAGGATTATATATACATTGTTTTAGGTCGAGCTATGATCATTGGAAAACATTGTAAACACCGTGAGTTTTGAGTGATTTTCTCACAATAATCAAAGAGCTATTTTGATTAATATAATTGTGTTTACATATTCTGATCTTTACTTGTTATCATAATATTTATAATAAGTGGTATCAGAACCATTTTTTTTCCAAGGATTTCCATCCAAATATATGTGTTTTATTGCTTCTTGTTAACGTAATATTTATAATAGGTGGTATCAGAGCCATCTTTCCTAAACAAGCAAAACCCTAATCGATTTTCTACCTTATACCTGAAAAGGTCTTAATCAATTGCAAAGGTCTCAACTGATTTCGTACTCTAGACCTCTTAAGGTCTAAATTGATTTTTTCTTGAAACCCACAAACCTTAAACCGACCGATTTCTCTCTTAATCTTACAAAAGGTTATAACCGATTTCTATGGCCTTATTGAAGTATGGTCTTCTGCTGCTAGATCTTTATACTGAGTTATCAACACGGCAAGTCAAGATATATAGGAGGAGCATTATTGGCTCAAACTGATTATTATGATGCATTAGATGCTTTTGGAAGCAACAGATAGATAGACTGTAGATGGGTGACATGACCGAAGAAGGTAAGAAGAAAAAATTGCAAAGGCTTTAGACCAAATACAACTCCATCTTCATAGCAACATTCTTCAAAAAGTTCCTAAAGAAAAGACTGATACTGCCTTTGGTCTAAACTGGAAGAAATTTGCATGAAAAATGACATTACCTTATGATGGTGTAATTAATACCTAAGGAATAGATGTGTAAATTGCAATTTATCAGCCGATAATTCATTATTTTACCTTTTGTTCTGGTCCTTAAACTCGTATATAATTTGGCTGAAAGTCCAAGTACAATGGGATTGTGTGCTTGAATTTGAGTAAATAATTACAATATCCAACAAAGACATAATATAGCATTTGGAAAGTATGGCTGACTTGATCGAATCTGGAATTGCTACGAAAACAACCATAATGCAGCTTCCTTTACGTTTCCAAGACCTCTCTTAACAATTTCAGGACAAACCTCTTCCGATGTTACTTCAGTACCCTATAATCCAAAAGAGTGACCATGAAACTTGGGAAGTGTGTAAGTTTTCTATAGTACAAATACACCATTATGCTTACCAATTCGAAATCGATATCGAGTATATCTTCAATTTCCTCGTAGATCCATGATTGGCTGAGTCTGCTGGGCTCATCTGAGTGCAATAGATCAACAATATCCGTGCTCATTTCTTCTATAGTGTCATAGACTTGACATAGTTGTGAGAGATTTTTGCTCAAAGAATTCTTAAACCATTTTTTACATGGAATCCACTGCTTTTAAGTGTTCTCATTGAATCCTTGCTCAACATGCTTTTTAATTCACATGCAACATCAATGCATATTTCATTGTAATCCTCCTCTAGACCGATATAGCTTGACTCCAACTTTTCCAAGGTTTCCTTGATCAGTGGAATTTTCTCGAGTCTTTCTAGTGCATCCTTCCATTCAAGCTCATCTTTACCACAGAGAAAAGAACCCAATACTTTGATTGTTAAGGGAAGACCAGCAGCATAATGTACAACTTTGTGTACTAGCTTCTCAAAGTTTAGAACCAGAAGATTTGATATCTACCGAAGAGAGTAATTGCTTCTGCATTATTTAATAGCTTGACCTCATGAACCAATTTTACTTTATGTGCCACCAGCAATTGCTCATCTCTTGTTGTAAATTGTAATAATAATTCGACTTCCAGGCTCAAACCAGTTAGGTGCACCAGCTAACGCCTCAAGCTGGCTTATATGATCTACATCATCTAGAACAACAAGAACCTTTTTACCACACAACTTCATTTTTATCTTGCTTATCCCATCATGCACACTATGTACAGTGATGTCTTGATCCTTTAATACGTCTGAAATGACCTGTTTTTGCAAAGACTGCAAACCAGACACTACTTTAGAAACTTCCCTCACATTCTCAACAAAGCTTATACCATCAAACTCAATAGATGCTTTATCAAAGATAGATCTAGCCAAAGTTGTCTTTCCACCACCTCCTATCCCCCTTTATCCCTATCATGCGAACATCATTTAAACCAGTTTCTAAAGATGACTCCACATCCTGCACCCGATGGTGCATGCCTATCAACTTTTCATTGTCCTTCAAATGAATGGAACGTAACTCAAGTGATATATGTTCAACAATCATATTCATGAGTTTAGCTTCATCCAGTTAGCTTGTTGAAGATCCCACATGAACAATGACTTTTTTTGAACGTCCATTTAAAGAAAACAAGTGTGTATCTTATAACCATTTAAAAAAATGTCTATAACATACACGCTTCTGTGAAACAATAACTGAAACATATATTACATGTAGTCATGTATCCTCGTTAGACAAGATATTGAATTAGATCACTTGATAGAAACAATAAATGAGATGCCATGGAATGGATGATCCTTTTACATACTACAGTAACGTGGAAAGAAACAAAATGAAAGAATATTGCAGACATCTGTTAGTGTTAAAATATGAATTTTGGGTGTCACATGATCTAATAGTATATAATCCAATCAATCGAATCAAAAGAGAGACTAAAATTCCTGATAATTTTATGTAATTGTATATCCTGGTTCCCTCCAAAGGTAAAAAAAAATATATCAAGAATGACAGTTATTTGTGGTAGCTGACACCAAGTCATCAACAGTTGGCTTTCAAGAAATGCGCCTCTATAGGATGAAGGACATGCTGTTGGAATAATATGTAGCAGGCCTTAGGACCATTTATGTAATAACAGACTAAAACTAACATCCGTTAGTTTTTAGGGACCAAATCCAAAATAAAACCCTCATTTTTTCAAGGTAAAACTTTTTTGGACCTTAGCCAAAGAAAGTTGCAAACAACAGGGACCATTTTTGCAATTTTGTCTTGTATCAATCCAACGATCACTTAATTAAGTCCTAGTTGTGGGATTGAACCCGTGATCAACTCTAATTCGCATCATGCTGAGATACTGTTAAACTAAAACTTGGAATGCTGAAATTGGACTATGCTTTTGAGGCATGATCCTCATGTTGCAATTATTAATCGAAGCTCACAAGAGCATAATTAAGTGAGTGCATGAACAGTAGGAAAGATCGGATTCAAATGTTCATAACACGGATACAAATACATCCTTTAGCTTAACTATTCATAATGGTCATCCTCATTGTAATTTTTTTGGTATGAAAAGACATTTCCAACGTGGATGCTTGAAGTTAAATTTAAGAATGGTTAGCAACGAATAGACTACACTTCAATTCTATCTTTCACTCTATAAATAGATTTATGTATAGTATTAATTACGTAACACTATTCATATACACTATAAACATATCGTAAGTTCCGGTTGTCATATTTAGCTACTTCTAGGTTTAAGTCTGTATATATCTAATTTATTTAATTTATTCTTATTATTGAGTTTATATATTTTGAGGTTATTTAAATTATATTGTTATATTTTGAAGGTGATAATTGTCTTAAATGTATTTAATTTTTTTTTTATATATTTTTTAATCATTTATAACACAATAACATTTCTATTAAATATCTATATTTGTCTATTTGAGTTATGAATGAAATTATTTATTTAACAGAGTATTTCTTTTTATATGATTTATTTTTTGGTTATATTTATTTGATAATATAAAGTTTTAAAATTATTGTAAAAAAAGATTTAAGACAAACTGATAAAAACATTGTAAAATTAAAGGGTATTTATGATAATCTAAAAAGGTTGGAGAGAGTAAATATACTTGGAATAATTTTTTTTTGGTGTAAATGGAGTGTAAAATAGAATATGATTGGAAATAAATCACTATTAACTCTATTTTCACTCCAAAAATAAAATGTGACTAGAGATGGTCTAAGATTCAAAAAAAAAAAAAAAAAAAAAAAGGACGGTCTGAGATTCAAATTTTTACCGGATGTTTCATGCTAATCATCATTTGGTAGCATTATCAACTAGCAAGAAAGCTGATTTTACATCATCTGTTTACGATCCCATATTTAGTATTTGTTTCTTGTTAGAGTTTGCAACTCCATGTTTTTGTTCTTGAAGATAGTGGATGGTGGTTCAATACTGATAGATGGGTTAGACGTGAAGGATGTTCAATATTGATAATTTATGCAAAAAATACAAAATAATGGGTTACAGACAAATGGTTGTGGTGGTAGACAATGAGGGTGGATGGTGGTGATGGACAGTGTGACACAAAGAATGTATGGGAAATGGATGGGGTTGAGGGAGGTGATATGACTTTTGTGGGTTACGTGGGGACCCTTTAGTCTAATATTCATATGAATTGTAACTATGTATAAAAAATAAAAAACGAAAAGGTCATTTTGTAAGATAATAGATTGTTTTTATTAATAGTGAGGGTTAAACCTTATAAAAACAGGGATTCATAAGTGGTCTAATCTAAACATTAAGAGGCTTGGGCTAAATCCTAATTACCAACACATTTCACATGAGTTACAAAAAATTTCAATAACTTTTTCTAAAGTAATTATGTTCGATATGACTTGAGAATTGAAGATCCGACCCACTCGAACAAGTGAAGAATACCCGGCACCTGATTTTTAAGTATTTGGAGTAGTTAGGCTGACCCGATTACCGATTAGTGTTTTAGTTTGTTCGATACCAATTTAATAAAGATTGCTAGCTAGTGTTTAAAATGTACTGTATATTGCCTTTCAAGTTTGTGAATGCTAAAACTGAACCACTTTGAATATTGAACAAATTTAGGCTGTCAGTGTTAGCCTATATGTTTATGGACCCTTTAGACTTTAGTTCATTCGGGTTTTGCCTTGTTAGTATTTATTTTCCACTTTCTTTTTTGTAGCCTTTATGTTTTTCATTGAGAACCTTGTAATTTCTGTCTATCATACTCATATGGCAATATTATCAGGTCTATAAAGCAAGCACACAATAGGTGTGATTCTCTTTCCACATCACCCTTACTTCACACAACACCCTTTGAGGTGTGGTCATCACCCCACCAACCACCACGTTGCAGGAAAAGAGGAGGAAGAAGGAAGAAGGAGAAGAAAAGACCAAAGTAGTATTTTTCCAGAATTCAAGAGATACAAATCCATCCTATAATAGCATGTATCAAGCCATAAGCCCTAGAACTCACCTCTAAAAACCGGTTTGTAAGGGGAGGGAGCACTTCGACTTGTAAACCACCAACCTAACCTATATTTGGCTGTGGGATCGTAACATTTTGATAATTTACAAAAGAATGGAAGAGACACAGAGGAAATAGGCGATTTATAGGGTTTTGATGACTTAGAGATTATGGTTAAAATGGATTATATTGTTTTTCGTTATTTTATCTAGTATATAAGACATGTTAATCATTTACTGTTAGTGGTTATTCTTATAATTAAACAAAGTGTTAAAAATATTTTTCAAACAAAGTGTAAAGAATCTTTAGATGTTTATAGATCTAAAAATCTACAACATAGTGAAAGAAATACCCATTTGCAGTGTTCTTCAACTCCCACCCAGCTAAACTAGCTGCTGCTTCTAGAGCCTCTCTCCATTTCAGAGCATCCTGTTGCACTTTATGTATGGCTAAGGCTTCTCCATATGCCCCACTTTGTTTTCGAACTTCAGAGGGTTCCACATCATAGAACACAGGATAAGTAGAGTGCACAGTCGTTTTTTGGCACTCCATAATCTTGACAAGCTCTTTCAAGCACCATGATGAAGATGCATAGTTCTTTGAGAAAACAATAATAAAGATTTTTGAGTCTTCAATGGACTTGTAGAGCTCGTTCATAATCTCTTTTCCTTTCTTGAGTGTATAATCGTCCCTGTATATATGTGTGTATACCGTTGCGTTCAAGAGCATTATATAGATGGCCAACAAAGGTCCTACGAGTGTCTATACCTCTGAAGCTGAGAAAGACATCGTACTGGTAGCTCTTGTGGATGGATTGGATGCAGTTGAAGAATAAGCCAATGAAGGTATGTTTGACATATCCAGAGAAATTAACTTTGTTGGGGGAAGTTTTTACCAAATGACTAGTAAGAGACTAAGAGAGTAGGGATGAGATGTATAATTAATCCTCATATTAATATAATGTTTAAGATGCTAACCACACATTTGGATCTTGGCTATTACAAGAGATATAGTGCAAAACTGTTTCATACAAGTGACGCATACTTATTGATCAACATCTCAATAAACTCAACTGGGGCTGGGGCTGTTTGATATTGATGCTAACCCAGTCAAAAGGAGGGACTCGGTCCTCAGTCAGAAGTTATGTTTGATTTCGCTTGTTCATCGTCAGACTCGGTCCAAAGAAATCTAATGATTAGGTCCTCATCTCAAAACCTCGGCCTTCAGTCAGCCCCAAACGACACACTTTGCCCCCTTGTTCTTGACTCAATTATTTGTCTCCTTCAATTGATCACACAGCTTCTCCTCTTTAAATCAATTGTCTCATGATAATACACACAGAAAATCCCCAAATTTCGAATCTTCATCAGAAATAAAACCTAAAAGCCTCATCAGCATCCTTGCTATTCAACAGATTGATGGCGAGTTTAAGACCTAGAGCGACAAGAGACGAGAAGAGGAAGAAGCTAAACAATACAACTTCAAATACCAGAAGCTTCTTGGTTACGAGAAGAGGAAGAAGCTCGTTGTTGATGTTGATCGTGAAGATGATGAGATCCTCATACCGGTTAGTTGATCGTAGTGATAGAAATAGAGGAAGATGGAGATAAAAAAGGTTACTTTGCCATGGATGAAAGCTTGAAAGCTCCGCTTCATTGATGGAGGGTTGCTATTGGGACTTTGTGGGTAGAAGAAGGTATACACGATAATTGTTTGATTTAGCATATAATGTCATCAAAACCGCGTGAACATGAAGTATATATATTTTTTTATGAATAACTAACATTATATAACATTATATATATATATATATAGAATATATATATATATATATATATAATATATAGGTAAGTTCAATTGAGAAAAATAAAAAAGGTTGAGAATGAGGGAATCATTCTCAACCACTCATTTATTTTTGCCGCAAAAGCCTTCGTTGTACCAGCGGAAATGGATAAAGAATACACATGTGTTTCCAACAAAACATGTTTTCTTAAACTATGATAATTATTACTTACCTAATATACAAAAAAACATAGTTGTTTTTCGTTTTTTTAATTTTTAAGAAGCTATTTTTATCGAAAAATGATTTTAAATATACCAAAATTCATGATTTTTTATTCTCTACAAATAGACATCCATATTGATATACTTTTAAGATAAAATAAATTTTTTTTTTATATATTTTCAGCTATCGTTATTCATAAGTGAATAAAAATGCATCAGATTTTGCTACAAGTACATCGTTATTCACTTATGAATAAAATATATAATTAATTTTTTTACAGTTTAAGTATCATTTATACTACTTATTCATATATGAATAACAAATTAACTGTAACAAAAATCTGATAAATGTTTTATTCATATATGAATATAAAATATGACGACAACTAATACACATTTATTCATAGATAAATAATAATATATGACGAAAGATGATGTAAAAAAATATATTTTAAGTAAGAAAAACTTTATTACGTGTCATATTCATATATGAACGATACTTAAACTATAAAAAAAAAATTTAAGCATACGTTTTATTCATAAGTGAATAACGAATGTACTGTAATAAAAATTTGATAGATTTTTATTCACTTATGAATAACGAGAGCTGAAACTCTAAAAAAAATTATTTTATCTTAAAACTATATCAATATGGATGTCTATTTATAGAGAATAAAAAATTATGAATTTTGATATATTTAAAATATTTTTTCGATAAAAATGGCTTTCTAAAAATAAAAAAAAACAAAAAAAAGTATGTTTTTATGTATATTAAGGTAATGATTAGCATAGTTTAAGGAAACATGTTTGGTTGGAAAACACATGTTTATCCGTTATCCATTTCCGACGGTACGCCTAAATGTTTTGCGGCAAAATAAATGTGTGGCTGAGAATAATTTCCCCATTCTCAACCTTTTTTTTTCTCAATTGAACCCTCCTATATA